GTATGGTTTTCGGGTGGTGAGGAACAGCGTGCCTGTATGGTTTTCGGGTGGTGAGGAACAGCGTGCCTGGTTGTTGGCGGTGTGTGTGTGACATTGCAGTTTACGCCATGAGTGCCCGGAGGGGACAGCGGAGGGGGCTGGTTGAGTAGGCTTTGACGAGGAGGACGAGTGATGGTCGTGCCTGCTCGTTTTGGTAAGACCGCGACCATAAGTAAATTCCCATTGGTGCGGTTGGCGGGAGATGGGAGGATATTCGAGGTCGGCGATCTCGCCCACCCAGAAACGAGCGAGACGAGGAGAAGTGCACGGTTGGTCGTTTGCTCTAGCGTAAGAGATTCGGAAGGGCCTTAGGTGTCCATATGCGCGAGAAGAACCTCGACATTCCACACTGGTGGTCGCGGCGCCGATGGAGGTTTCAGGTTGAAAATCCCTCGCATAAGTCGGCATTCGTGGGGTGACTGCCCATTTTGAAAGCGTCTACGGGACGGAGGGGATACGATAAGCATGAACGGTATGAATTCGTGGAGGAGTAGGAGTAGCCCTTGTGGGCCAGTTCTGCCAGGAAGTTGCACACTTGATTCACAGAGGCTTCAAGAATAGGGGAATTTCGCTCCTCGCACCAACGAACCCAATGGCGCCAGCAGGACTCGTTCGCTGTACGGGTGGTTGGCCGGATAGCGTTTTCCAGAAAGTTTCCAAAGTCGCTTCTCGTGAGAGGATAGGGGCGCAATGCGCCAAGCCACTAGCCGGAGCTTCTGGGCGACTAGGAGCGGGTGGGGGGACCCCGTCCGGTCCAGAATGAGGCCTTCGCCCGCTGGGAGAAGCAGTGGTAGATCGATGCAGCGTTGTAGCAGCCGTGGGAAGAACGGCTGTGTTGACCAAAGAGGGCATATTAGCGTGAGCTCGCAAGTCGGGAACGAGTCCAGATGGGTGAGTGTACGGTAGCTCTGGGGTAAACGTTTCGCTCAAAAGCCAAGGACCAGAGTTGCCGTGATGAGGCGTTTGGGGTGGGAGAGCGTATGGAGCCAAAGTTGTTTATGCAATGCATTGCATTCGTATTGTCCGTGCGGATTGCGATCGAAGTATTGGAGCAGTTTCTCGCCAACCGTCGGACCGCAAGGAAGATAGCTTTGAGCTCCAAAGCACTTATGTGGAGAGATGGTCGTGTTCATTCCACTCGCCGCTCCATGGGCGCACCAGGCTCCCCAGCCGCGGAGAGAGCTATCAGTCGTGATTTCCAACAAAACTAGCGGCGCGCCGCTAGTTTTTACTAGCGGCGGTCGTATAGGTCCGGACGCGACTATGTCCAGATGCGTGGTCCACAAGAGCAGGGCCGAGCGGAGCTCGGGAGAGTTTGACTGTGGATTCGAGGTCCTTAGTGCGTCGGGTGGTAGTAGAGACGACTTGCGCGAGAGACGAGCGATGGTATCGAATCGAGCGGACAATGGTCGTCAGCGCGTTCAGTTTTCCGAGAATGCGATACAGCTCACAAAGTTTGAGTCTGGGTGTTTCTAGCAGAGTTTTCACGTCGCGTTTGATCTGTTCGCGTTTCTCTCGGGGTACCGAGAGCTGCATGGTGGTTGAATCGATATTGTAGCCGAGGTAAGTGACGCGCCGAGAAGGTTCGAGGGCGGACTTCTCCAAGTTGACCGTGTAACCTAGTGAGGTAAGAAAGTCTGTCGTCGTGTTGACGTGCTCCACAAGTCGAGCGGGGGAGTCGGCCATGAGGAGAAAGTCATCGAGGTACACGGTGACGACAACTCCTCGTTGCCGCAGTTTGGCGGCGACTGGCTTAAGCATTTTCGTTAAGACTCGAGGGCTTATCTCGAGGCCGAAAGGCAAGCGTGCCCAACAGTACGTTTGTTGATTCCAACAAAAAGCGAGGAAGGGCTGGCTCGATGCGTGCATCGGAATCGAAAGAAAAGCAACTTTCAAATCGATGCGGGCGAAAAAGCAGTTGCGTTCGACGGCTCCTTGATCTCCGCCCAGCCCTCCATTTTAAATTTGTTGTCCGGGATGTACGCGTTCAGTGGTTTGAGGTTGATTACCGGGCGGTATTTTGAGGTGCCCTTTTTCGCCACCAGAAAGAGGTTGCAAACGATTTTTTCAAAATTTCGCGCGGTCGAGCGGATTAGGGATAATGGCCCCTTTGGCCAGCAGTTCCGAGACCATTTTATGTATGATGTCAGTTTCGTCGCTCGAGAAATGAATTGGGTGCGGCAAAGACGTTTGGCAAGGGGGGGGCAAAGAAGGAAACTCGGTATCCGCGCGCCGTGCTCAAGATCCACTCATCGGACGTTAACCATTCCTACTGGGATGTATAACTTAGTAAAGACGGGAAGTCGGTACCTGGTGGAGGTGGTTGGCTGTTGTTAGCCGAGTTCGAACCGAATTTCAGGACGCGTTTTGTTGCTGACCGAATGTGCCCGCACGGGGCCAGTCGTTCCGATTGGAAGGTTTCCACGGTTTCCTGGAGCCATTGCGGTCGTTGTTGTTGTTCGGTTTGTTGTAGGGGCGGGAGCGTTTGTTGTTCGAGGCTTCCGCGCCTAGCAAGACCTTTTTGTCCTTGCGCAATCTCTCGACATTCTTAGCGAACGATTGTCCAAGGAGCGACGAACCTCGCTCGGTCCGGGCTGTAGACGTCGGGACGCGGAAAGCCTGACAGGCGAGCTCTACGCGCGCTGTTTCTGTTGCTGTAGCGGCTATGACCAATATCTTTGCCGCGTCAGAAAGACGTCGTGCAATGAACTTCTGGTCGAGTGACGCAGGGCCTGTGGCAACGTAGGACGTGACGTCGGTCAGAGGTCTAGCCAACAGCGAATGCGTGTCTGCGAGTTTGACGAGGAGAGAATCAGCTTTGAGCGCGAGAAAGGCCTTGCTGGCCTTGAGATGCGCTTCCACGTCCCGGAGCGGTTCAGGATGCATGAATTGCAAGCCCTGAGGCTCCGGATAAGCTAGATTGAGCTCTTCGGACAGTTTCTGGGTGTCTTTGATACCGAAGATCCGTTGTAGTCTCGCGAGGACACTGGGGTGAATATTCGGCGCGGATGAATCTTGAAGTAGGTCATCGAATATGGAAGGCTGGACGGGCTCTTTGGACTCGGGTCGGTGGCCGGTCTCGGTTGTGGAGCCTTCGTCTTCGTCGTCTTCGACCTCGAGGAGATCGACGACGTCCTCTTCGTGAAGGCTGACCTCGGGTTCGCTCATTTCTGCAAGAACCGCGTCATAAGTATGTGGAATGTATAATTGTCTCATGGGAATGGAGACGCGCCCGATGGAGCACCTTTAGGCTGGTCAGATATGAACGGGCGAATGGCAGTTAGCCGTCGAGCTCGTTTGATTAGGCTTCCAGCGAGCGGACCCTCTTCGAGGCATATAGTATTTGGCTCGACAACACGTATATGGCGTGGCATCAAGTGTGGAACTTGGCATCCAGTTCGCTCAGGAAAAGGGCATCGGCTCGGCAAGCGAGTCGGAACAGTCGGGAATCGCGCACGTGGCGCAAGCCACGTGTTAGGCTTAGTTGTTCCCTTCGACAATTCGTCGATATCATATAGCGTATACATATATATATCAATGTTTAAAATTGATCCTGAAAGAGAACGGGCAGCGACTTACCAGCTGTCAGTGAAAAGTACACGTTCGAAACTTTTTCCCCTTGACGCTTGCGCAAGACTCGCGGAGTGGAAAACAAAAAGTGAGGGTTCTCTACCACCAGACGACCATTCTCGCTTGTAATTCTTTCAAGACCGCCTGCTCTGCGTGTGGATCACAATCGCTATCTGTCCTCGGTGAACTCCGGAACTCGACTAATTGGAACTTCCAATATTTAGGGGTGTTCGAGATTCCGACTCTCTCCGGGCGAGGGTGAATACTGGTTCCGCTTCTCTTATGGGAGAAGCTTCCCTGAGGTTCCCTTGTCTCGAGAATCCTCGACAGTGTTTCTATCTCCTAGGGTGTATCAGTTTTTTTTCCGCCGCAAGGCGGATCGCCGTGAATACCGATCTTTTCCGGAAACACAGCGTCTCGAGTGTTCTCCTCACTGGGACCGGGCTGTTATAATGCACGAGCCCCTTCGGTATCCGGGAACACTACGATTGTACACGTCAGCACTTTTGCGGCACTTTTTTGCCACTTTTTCGCGAGCTTCTCGGCTTGCGACCTCCTTCTCGTCTGCCTAGCAGACGACCATAACTATATCGTTGAGCTTCGAACTCTTTCGGAATTGTCGAATTGGCACTCGGACCTTGTCCAACAGATACGCCGCCGATCCGAACGTCGGCGTTCTTCGGGCGTCATCGTTCTCGAATGAGTCCAATGACCTCGACGGCCGTCTGCCCTGTACCTGCTCCTCTTCACTGCTCTCCCTGACATTCCCTGCATTATCGGGCTGTGGAAAGCATCCTGACCTCTTCAGAGTATCCAAGACAGCGAGATGAAGCCCATGACACAGGCAGAGCTGATGGTAGAAAGGTTTTGGGGCCGCGGCTTTCTCTAAACTTTTCGCCAGCTTGACGACAACATTTTTCTGCTGACGTCAGCCATCGAGATGTCGAGGAAAAACAAAACAGGCATGGTCGCATGTTTCCTCGACTGCTCCCGAGCCTTCGATAAAATAGACAGGGAGTTATTGTGGAAGGCACTCGGTGAGTTAGGGATGGACCTTTCGTGGATATCCTTACTTCAGCTCATCTACACGGACAACAAAGTAAAGATTGTCCATGATGAAGCCGAGTCCAACTGGCTATACACTTCCGAAGGAGTTAAACAACGCTGCCCGCTGAGTAGCATACTGTTCTCCCTGTACATCTCTGAACTAGAGAGGCGCCTCCTCAACAGTGGTCTAGGCTTCCAGATCAGGAAGCGGGGCGACTTCTGGAACGTTGCAGAGAGAAAATGTACATGTATGCCCGGACTCCTCTTCGCCGATGACCTGGTACTAATAGCGAAGAATCGTACGGACATGCAGAAGCTGCTTCGGATAACCACTGACTTATGAAATGAGACTCCAGTTCAATCCGAAGAAGAGTGCGATGGTGGTGTTCTCAGGTCACCTTGTGGGTGACTGCTCCGGGCTGGAAATACAGCAGGAGGTGATACCACACGAGCACGAATATAAATACTTGGGCATTCTGTTGTGTGATAGTGCAAACTACCTCAAAGAGACAAGAGGAGGAGTGGACCAGGACGTACCAAAAACACATTACACAGATTGCAAGCGCAACTGCTGTGGAGCTCTAACAGATTTGAGCTTTCGAAGACCTACTGGAAAGCGGTCGCGGTCCCCAAACTCACCTACACCAACGCTGTCACATCGATGACCGCGGCAACGCGCGACGCGATGGAGATTTCGCAACGTAATGCCGCACGTTGGGCGCTTGGCAT